GGGCTCTCAAGTACGTTCTTAATTTTCATTGCAACATTGCTCTGTTGCGGTCGACAGCATGTTGTTATGCTATCCTACAGTATAATGAACAATTTGACACGTTGAGCCACACTCCGTGTAATTTAGTCTGGTCGGCCAGGCTTCGTCAGTATGGCTTAAAAGAGCCTGATTGCAACATAAAAGGAGCTAAAATGATTTCTATCAAGCACTGGTCATATTCTACATGTCAACAATTTCTTCCAAAGAAAAAACACAAGTCTGGTTAAAATCTTGTGAATCCTTGTGGGAGAATGTTTAAACATATCTGAGGTAACCTTTTTTTTTTTTACTTTCTGGTAAAAAAAAAAATGTTTGTAGGTATTTTTAAACAAAACCAGCTTTGTGTATCAAAACAGAAAAAACCTGCAGTAAACATTACACTATAGAGCCAACACTATTTTCAGGGCCCCTTGCTTCAGGCAAAACTGATACATTTGGAGGGGTTTTGCAATGCAGGTTAAGCAATCTTATCAAAGAATCTAACAAAGAAGTTTGTGCCCATTTATGCAGCAGTGCTTTTAGAACACTTTTCTATGCCCAAAAGGTAGAGTATGTTGAGTAAATTTGCTATTTTAAATTAATTTAAGTTCCATGTTTGACTTTTTTTAAATCCTGAATTAGGAGGGTTTTGAACATGTCTGTTCTGGAAATGAATTTCCATTCCTTTAAAGAAACAGGTAATATCAGAAAATGGGATTCAGCCTCAAATTTCCGTACCTTTCAATTACACAAACATTATTTTCTCCCTTTGTGATTAAGGTATTTAGGACAGTGAAGAATAGCTAATGATGCACTGTTTGGCACTTGAGGATCTGATAAATCAGCCACATTCTCTATCGCATTCATATTGTACCCCACTCTGCTGTAAAACAAAATTACGCTCTTTTTTTCATGGCTTAGCAAGACACTTGTTAAAAAAAGTACTTTAAACTTATTGTACGCAATTCAAGAGATGACAGACCCTGTGTCTGCATAGAGTAAAGGGACATATAACAGTTTCGCCCAGCTTTTCTTGAATTACATCTGGCTCTTAACTCGGATCTTCTTCAATCCTTTTACAGTATGCAGAAAATGTAGATGATTAGAATGACATAGACAGATATGACATGGGCCCACTGGTGTATTTTCTGCTCCACAGTTCTAGACTGGCACTTCGGTGACCACCTGTGTGGCCACTGGTATCTGGCTGCTTATGAGCCTGTTGCTTCTTGTTAATCTCCCATGGGAAGTCCTCTATTGGCAGTGGGCTGGCCGGACTGCCTGACCCCTCCGGTGTGCTCTCAGGAGTTCCTTCAATAATTTCAATTCGAGGTGGGTCCATAAAGTCCATAATGCTGAAGGGTGCAGGCTCTGGTTGGCACATCACTGACTTGTCCTCTGTATTCTGTCTAACTGACCAGCTGGAGCCAGCTTGAATTCCTATGGACACTCTGTCGTCTGTCTGTGTGGTGCTGTCGCTGCAGGGCTCTCGGCATAAAGTCCACATATTGTAGCACTGAGTGAAGTTGAAGAAGTTGCTGTTAAAAGTTTTTAATTCCCCACAGACATCTCTACGCAGCTCCGCCAGCTCGTAGCGCATTGCAGAGATTTCATCCTTCCATTGCAAGTTGAAGGCAGCAACCATGTTAGCAGACTCCTTAAAAGCCTGGAGGGCCTGGGGAACCGGTGGCTCAGTGGTGGCTATGGGTGAGGCAGCGGGAACCCTATATGAAGGTGGGGTTGCTGGCGGGACGGAAATGGCCGTTACAGTGGAGCTAGTGCTATGCTGGCTTCGAGCAGCTGCGGTCTCTCTCTCTAGCCGCTCCAACTCTGCATAGGCAGAGGAGCTAGCACCATCATCATCCTCTATCATGTCGTCATTTAGCAAAGATGTGGCATCCACAAGATCATATCCCTCTGCAAGAAAAATGTGAGTATGCAAATATCAGGACATTCACGGTGAAAGGAACAACTGGATCATGATTGAATTTGTATTCAAACATAAAGGGTGGTCACATATCTATGGAAAACATACAGTATGTGAGTGAAAAGGATATTAAAGAGAGATGAACCTGTTAAATAGTTTTAAAATGATAAACGCCCACTCATGCTGCTTTAGTTATGTAAAACATTCATGCTGATTTAACTGAGGTTGAATTCAAAGCAGTCTTTTACAGTTTTTTTTTTATTCTAAATCTGTAAAAACTCTGTACTGTCCTTAAATGAAACTTCAGGGAATTTCATATGTTCTAAAACAGCTAACAAATATGTTTGTCACTGTACTTCACAGAAGTATTACTTTCCTATAAACTCACATACTGCAGGTTTTCACAATGTTTTTACACTGCCTTCTCAGTCATCTCACGGCTTCTTTCCATCTTTTCACTGCACACCACAACAAAAAGTGAAATACATCAATTGTTATCAAATCAAAAATCCTTTCTTTGAGGACCCCTTTTTTCAAGCATGCCAAATACTACCCAGCACTCCAAAAGTGTGCCATTTTGTGCAAAAGAAAAGATGTAAAGGGAGTGGAGGAATCACAACCCACGGGGTTAAGAAGCAAATATGAACCCTATTGAAAAGATCAGGTCCAAAGTGTCTGATAAGACCATGCAGAGTTGTAAAAACCCAGCAAAGGAGAGGTAAACCCTCTGCCTCTAAGGCCCCATCAGAACGAGGTTGCAATCCCACAGTCAAAGACAGCTGACAAACTCAGTTCCAAAGGTTAGACTTTGCCACAGATGGCCTTTGATTTTTTATGGCAAGAAAAAAAAAATACACATGTACAGCAGGCAGATGCCACCCTGACAAATGATTGGAGACAGTGGCAAGGCGATGACATTTACTTCTATTTTATGGTTGCGACATGAAAACATTCTGAAATTCTTTCTGAATTACATTTCTGATGTGGTTACACTTACAATATGGTCTAAAAACACTTAAAATAGAGACATGATCAACAACTCACAAAAGCCAGCATCACATTCATCACTTTGAAATTCTATATTCAGTGGTACCAGTGTTAAAGAAGAAATATAGTCACAATGTCTGAAGTTTTATGAGTTGTTTGGAACTGTGTTTGCTACTTAGGTTAACTTAAACTTTATGGTTCTATCAGTTCTACTGAGAAGGCAGTGCAGAAACACACATATACATAGATATGTATGCATGTCAACATTAAAATACCTGAAACAATCATCACTGATGCCTCCAGTTGTTCTTTTCCCCTGGTTATCCTTCAACATCTGGATGGTCAAATGGAGAGGGGTTTGTAGCTCGTCTGCCCTATAGAGCATCATGGGATTCCTTTTCCCGTTCAAGGGCCCACTAATCTCAGGGTTGAAACTAGTCCTAAATGCTACTATAAAAGAAACCACGATCTAATATATTGTAAATTGTTTTGTTTGGTGATTGCATTTAATTTCAAGAAAACTGTTCTCCAAGAACAGTGAAAGGAGAACACCAATGAAAAAGTGGAAGCATCTGATCACCAAATAACTATATTACTTTGAGTAAAATCATTTTAAGCTTCAAAATACAACCTTACATCAAATAATTGTTTTGTTTATATCAAGCTAAAAGATTTGGTGCTGATGGCCAAGTCAATAGAGTTCAGCAAACAAGACGGTGGGATTGAAGACCTTTATCCACTGTCGCTCAGTCACGAAGAAATTGTAGATGGAAGCCCAATTAAGGATGACAGGATTTAAAAAAAAGAATCATATTCCAGATTCAATAATTACACAAAACCATTAAAGAGGTAAAAGTGCAAATGTGTCCAAAAATAAAAACATATCAAAAGATCAAAAAGCTTAAGTTGTAATGTTGAAAAACAGTTCATATAGACAAAAAAATTTCAATAGGGTTCATAGCTTTACACTCGCAGGCAAACATGAAATACATTTACTCAGGGAGGTACTGCAGAGATTCTGTTTCCACATAGATTCTGAAGTGTGTGAGCCTTTATACTGTATCCCATGTATTGTGTTACATAAAACATTTAAATTATTTTAGATTGTATTTAAAAAAGCAACATATTGTAATTCCAGTTAATAGAAGAGTCAATAGAGAATACAATTTTTAAGAATTACTTCTAAAGTTATAAAAGGTTAAGGTCTGCAGTTGCATTATACACATTAGTCAGAATTACAAATGAACCATTGATATTAACAGTTAAAAATCTTTACTGTTTCCATCAAAAAGCAGATAAAAAAAAACATTTAGTTATTCTTACTGATTAATGTTAACAGTTTTATGCAGCACAATACAATAGTCTTGTAAAAAAGGGAAAAAATGGGGTATATATATATATATATTTTTTTTTTTATAATAGTCTTTTGCTTTTAAAAACCAGTATGTTGTGGTACAAGTCTTCTATATCTAGATTTTCTTGACTTACCTTAAATTGGTTTCTATTTTTTTTTATATGTGGTTAGTTAAAATTTGATTTACTAGTTGTGCACCTAATGGAGCAGTTGGAGGTAATACCCGTCCCCTACCTGCGCACCACATCAGATCTGAACCCCTCCCTAAGTAAACTAACAGGCTTTGCCACACATATAGCAACACAGTTTAACATGCTGAGGGAAAGGCTACTCCTGTTGTGCATGCCTTGTAATGTAGCTGTGCTGCACTGTGAATGAATGCACACTGTGGTTCTGTGTGCATTAATAAAATAAATCTGAAATATAACCTTTTACTTCTGGAAAGTATGTATGTGGAAACTTAATGCACAGTTCATGCAAATTACAAGAGGATCAAATCATCTAAACTACTGGGATTTGGCAGTGGCAAAAACAGACATACAAACACCACAGAACCCAAAGAAAATGAAAGGAAATCAGCCTGACATCTTTGGATCTTTAGGGTTCCCCACTGTACATATGTAGGTATGTCAGGTTTGTGCGCATGTATACGATGTATGACGATATGTAGACTGAGCCCTCTTTCATTTTGGGGGGGAGAGGGGTTTGTTTTACCTGTTGTGGATCTGAGAGTTGAAGTGACAGTGGAGGATGTCATTGAAGGCAAGCAGTCGTCATCTTGGGAATAACCAGCCTGAATTGCACGGAGGTAACTGTGGCTTCGAGTGCGGAACGAGCCAGGCAGGTCCAAGGCCTCCATGGCCTGGGATTCTACTTCACTAAAAACGGACTCGCAAACTGACTCAAACTGGCCATTGATCTCAGTCTCACTCACCTGAGAGACAAAAACAGGAATAGCAGTCCTTAATTTTTCCTCTTCCTTTCTCTTTCTCACTTTGATTCTTCCCCTTTGTACAGCAAATATGAAGGAGTGTTAGCAAAAGGAAAGGCCACTGAAAAACTCAACCTCAAACTGAATGACTGTCAGATCAAACGAAGACACTGCAGGTGACAACAAGAGACAAATCAGAAAAAGATACAAAGCTTTTATAAGACATGAGATTGACTATAATATAATGAATCCCACTTAACAGAGAGAAATCAAACAAACTAAATTATCTCGAACTCAATAATCTTGGCTGTATATCAAGATTATGGAGGCACTGAAAAATCAGTTGGTGACTGAATTGACTGGTTCTAACCTAATTAACTCAACTAGTGATCAGTTGTCTGAAGCTGACCAGGCAGTAAATCCACCCTAACTACGTTGACACTTACACTTTCAGAAGAAAACCATTTCTTTATGAGTATGTTTTTTCAAAATCAAGTCAAAGGAGGCACACAGATGAAAATAGCTATTTAAAACGAGATAAACCATTAATTTTAGGAGGGCTCCACTATAGGCCAGCAAAGCTGCTCTGTTTTACTTTAACCTTTGTCATGAATCATTTTGAACTATCAAATGTTTTTTTTAAATTTACTGTTAATGTGAAGATTTACATCCTCACAGAAAAATACTGACTGTTTTAGTTACAATAACATTATGAATCTTAATTCTTTTTTCGCATTGTTTTATTTGCACACTTATTTAACTAGCTTATGTGATTCTATTGAAAATACATGCTCTATGTCGAGCACGAAAAAGGGTAGTTTTTCATGTAAATAATATATTCAAGCCTTTGATTATCTTTCATGCCTTATAACTATAGTATTTAAAATGGTATCAGTTATCAAATATTTTCCTGTTTATTGATATTAAGTTAGAAACTGTAGTATCGTGACTGAGGCTGCAACTAATAATTATTTTGCAATTAGATGAATCTGTCGATTATTTTTTCGATTAATAATTGGATAACCAAAGCTTCTTTAAAGAAGATTTTTTTACAAAATTAAAGCAGCTGAAACTAAATGTTTCCACTTGAGGATTTCTGGATAGAGCATATTGACAGAAGAAAAGTTTTGTTTTTTAACTTAAATGTAAAATATTTACATATCTATTTACAATTTTGGTATAACTGCTGCTCTAAGTGGGTTTCTCTGTCAGCTAAAGGCATGTTGTATAGTCTCTATACTAGATTTAATCTATTTTTGAATTAGTTTAATAATCGATTAATTATTGTCTTAATCATTACAACCTTGCTCTGTAATCAGTGTGCCTTTATTTGATGGGAAATACACTCTGAAAAAACATTGTGAAGTCCTTGCTTCTCATGTTAGTCAATAATGACGTCTTATGGTGGAGAGCCTTGAAAATATGCTGAATGTTCTTTGTTACATTATAATATTTCTATATTGAAAATTTAAAAGACAAACAAATTGGCATTAATAGGCCATAAAAATCTGATGAGTACATAATTAAATTATTTTATCACTCATAAAATATAATTTGATGTACCAAGCCTGAAATACATCGGTGTTAAAATCAGAAGTATCCCCTAAAAATGTAATCTGTGTACTGGAATCATTTTACATGAACTCAATCTTTCTGTCTATTCTGTTTTATCCTTCAAAAACAGCTAATTTACACCCATAGGGAAACAGCTGCCTGAATGTAAGCCCCTATCTTTTGACCAAAAATCTCTCCTGCTGTATCTCCTTTTCCATATGGAAGCTTTGGAGATGGCTCGGTCATGTGTCTTCTTACTGCAGCAACCCCATCACGCGCATCTCACAGTGGAGGTCCGAATTAACTTCCTCAGATGATCCAGCTGTGTGAATTCACACACAGTATTAAAGAGCGACATACCTGGAAAGGTTGGCGTGTAATGATTGGTTAGATATCAAAACTCAATGTAAGACTGACTATTTTTCTTAGATGAAAGACAAGCAATGCAAACTCCAAGCAGTTTGCTGATTGACTATAAGAGAGCAGGTATGAATTAAACATGACAGATAATCTCTTCACGTTAATTTTACCTCTTTACTGCACAGAATGCTATAGTGTATACTGAAATGAGACAGCAAAAACAGTTCCAATGATATTTCTATACATTGAAGGAGCCTTAAGGTCTACTTGAAATACAGATGTTTGAAGCCAAGGCCAAAAAATATACAGCACTCCACACTTATTGGCACCCACACCTTTAAAGAGATTAATTTTTTATATTTATATATGTAGACTAATTATTTTATTCCTAACATTTGACCAACATATTTCCTTAACTGGGAGTGGAGGGACCTCTTCTTAGGTATTGCCTCTTCCATTTACTATCAGAAACAAACTTCTCGGTTGAATGAAATTTTCCTTCTTGCTATATTTCACTGGTTGGAATAATTTTGGTCTTAATTAGTTTTCTAATCAAAGGGAACAAACAGCAAATACACTGAACAGATTTTTAACCTTAGATAAACTACTGACTGAGACAGACCTGTTTAACCAGTTTAACCATAAATTCACTGACTTTACAAAAACATAAGTGTATTTTTAGGAGAAGTTCTGTAAGTTTAAACTGAATAATATCTTTAAAATAGCTTTTTTATTTGACCCTTTTCAACTAAAATATCATTTGACACTTCAGTAGTTCAACGTCTGCATCTATGAGCCTGTAGCTTATTTTCCTGAACATACTTCAGGTTGGAAGTTTCTACGCTGTTAGGGGGATGTAACGTTAAGAGCGTCCATATTGAATGGTCCGATCTAGAAGACAGTCGAAGCTTTATATTTGAGATGGATTTTGTGGATTATAAGATGCGACTTAACCTGGCAGTAGCCAGATATACACTATATTGCCAAAAGTATTTGCTCACCCATCCAAATTATTGGAATCAGGTGTTCCAATCACTTCCATGGCCACAGGTGTATAAATTCAAGCACCTAGGCATGCAGACTGTTTTTACAAACATTTGTGAAAGAATGGGTCGCTCTCAGGAGCTCAGTGAATTCCAGCGTGGAACTGTGATAGGATGCCACCTGTGCAACAAATCCAGTCGTGAAATTTCCTCGCTCCTAAATATTCCACAGTCAACTGTCAGCTGTATTATAAGAAAATGGAAGTGTTTGGGAACGACAGCAACTCAGCCACGAAGTGGTAGGCCACGTAAACTGACGGAGCGGGGTCAGCGGATGCTGACGCGCATAGTGCGAAGAGGTCGCCAACTTTCTGCAGAGTCAATCACTACAGACCTCCAAACTTCATGTGGCCTTCAGATTAGCTCAAGAACAGTGCGCAGAGAGCTTCATGGAATGGGTTTCCATGGTCGAGCAGCTGCATCCAAGCCATACATCACCAAGTGCAATGCAAAGCGTCGGATGCGGTGGTGTAAAGCACGCCGCCACTGGACTCTAGAGCAGTGGAGACGCGTTCTCTGGAGTGACGAATCGCGCTTCTCCATCTGGCAATCTGATGGACGGGTCTGGGTTTGGCGGTTGCCAGGAGAACGGTACTTGTCTGACTGCATTGTGCCAAGTGTAAAGTTTGGTGGAGGGGGGATTATGGTGTGGGGTTGTTTTTCAGGAGCTGGGCTTGGCCCCTTAGTTCCAGTGAAAGGAACTCTGAATGCTTCAGCATACCAAGACATTTTGGACAATTCCATGCTCCCAACTTTGTGGGAACAGTTTGGAGCTGGCCCCTTCCTCTTCCAACATGACTGTGCACCAGTGCACAAAGCAAGGTCCATAAAGACATGGATGACAGAGTCTGGTGTGGATGAACTTGACTGGCCTGCACAGAGTCCTGACCTCAACCCGATAGAACACCTTTGGGATGAATTAGAGCGGAGACTGAGAGCCAGGCCTTCTCGTCCAACATCAGTGTGCGACCTCACAAATGCGCTTCTGGAAGAATGGTCAAAAATTCCCATAAACACACTCCTAAACCTTGTGGACAGCCTTCCCAGAAGAGTTGAAGCTGTTCTAGCTGCAAAGGGTGGACCGACGTCATATTGAACCCTATGGATTAGGAACGGGATGTCACTTAAGCTCATATGTGAGTCAAGGCAGGTGAGCAAATACTTTTGGCAATATAGTGTATATGTGTAGAACTGAGTCGAGTTCTACGTTATCAAGCTTGAATGGTTGTTGTTCAGTCTGTCCATGAAAAGGAGGAACATTTAGTACAATACTTCGAGCTGATTGGGTGACATGCCGGCTAGCACCCGCCTTCCATAATAGGCTTACAGACAATCGTAGCAGCGAATCGTGACGTTTCGTAAGCTAATGAATCAAATTTTCTCCAAATCCTCTTGGAACAAAAGCACATACATCTTTCCCATCTACAAATGCACAAAGCGTTTCTTTTTGATCCTTATTAAACCAGAAATTGTCGCTATTCTAGCTAAAACCGAGTCAAATGCAGTATCGACAGGTGAGTCCTCCAGCGTAGCCATGTTTGTTATGCCCCGGCAAGGTCTTCTGACTGTTGTCATTCTTACATGTCCCGCCCTCAAAAAAACACTGCTGGAACTCAATGGTCACACTCGCTGGTTGTTTCGAGACGTATTAGTGGGAGTCTTTCAAGATGGATTTGTTGTGTGACTGAAAACTCAGATCTGGAGACATTCCAGGTTGCAGCACAAGGTTAGAAGAAACTAACATCCAGCTCAACTCAGAAATCAATTGCAACTCCAGGTAAGGTGAAAAAACTCCTTAACCGGCACATGTCAGGTAAAACTCCTTGTCAGGTACGTGTGCAAGCTACGAGAACGAGCAGAGCAGTGCTGCAGTTCTATGTTTTGGCCAGAGGTGGCAGTTTCAATAGAAAACTCCATAATTCCTCCTTTAGGATTATACCAGAATTTATGAAACAAAAACTCTTAACGATAGCCTCAAACAGGTCATCCAAGCACTAAACTCAACCTGTGGAGCTGTAATAAACAAGCATTTGCAAACTCTTAAAACACGCATATCTTCTGTCATACTGTATATCTAACCTCTTTATGGAAAACATAAGAAGTGTTTGAGGATCACACATTTCCAGAACCATTAGGAAAAAAACATTTCCACACCTCGATTTAATTGATGAAGTCTATCTAATAGGAAATTGAATGAATAAACCTGCAGGAACTCAACATAGCCAGAGCATATGGGTGAAATATGGCAGACTGAATGGATAACAGGGAGTTGACTACTCGGGGTTTTCAAACCCTGCTGCTCACAGTATATTGCTGATAGAGCTAAACATCCCTAAATGTCTAAATGGCCACCACTTAAGTCTTATGACCCTTGGATCAAAGGGTGAATAAAAGTATTTGATTCCCTCTGTAACCGCCCTTCACCAGGGTGCCAATAAGTTAGAGTTTTAAAAGAAGTTTTACAATATTGCATTTCTGACTCAAATAACAAAAGATGTGTATAAGTTGCTATAATTATTGAATGCTCCTTGTTATTTTGAGTTTAAAACTGTTGAAAAATGAGACAGCCAAGTTACACATTATGTGTCAATAGCAGTGGGGTTTAAAACAATGGTTGTCAAGATAGGATCCCACATGGTGTTACATGCTTGGATACCTAACATCACTCTTTCATTATGTCATGTCATTTAGCCCTATTATCTGTCTGCTTAGCTTGAGTGCTGTGTGGTTGTATTGCAGGCGAAAGGAGAGAAAGTGAGGAGCAAACTTAATTTATGAATATGAGCAATGGGAAGAGAAGTATATCTATAGTATAAAATTGATTAGTAACAAAAAATGAGCTATAAATATGATACATTTTTACATTTGTGCAATACTTTCTATAGTAGTAGCCGTTCAAAATCTCCACACTTTCCTCGATTTCCCCTTGGCTGGTCCCCTAAGATTCCCTTTTTAACCATCAATTTTTGTATTAAAATATCCTTTCTGTCATGATTTGTGGACATTAAGATCTAAAGAGAAGCGTCACCTCCTGGTCAGACCCTGTAATTCAGTGAAAGGTTGGAGCCAGATTTAAAAATATGCTTGCCCAGGAGAAGGAGGGGGTCACTCCAGTGGCTGCCATTTGGCTGGAGTTTGACTGGGAGGGGCCATTTTGAATGGCTGCTACTGTATATTTTCAACAAAAGATAACCTCAGTTTTTTATTCAGAGTGATGGATCCTTGGGGAAGACTTTTGAAACTCACCTGGCTGACGCAGCTAGCTTGACTGAGGGTGCTGACGGCACGCATGTAGCTCTGGTTGCGAGAGCGAAAAGGAGGAGGATGGAATGAGGTGGCAGGATCCAGCGTGACACTTGGGTGGGGTCGCAAATCTCTGGTTTGCAAGTGGTAACCCTGGCTGAACAAGGACAGGAGCAAGTTGTAGAGGGGAGACAAAACGTTTCTCAGTTTAAAAAATACAAAATAAACATTAGAATTATAACTTTTGGATCAGCTGGGGAGCATACATGGGTTAGGCATGTCTGGACAGAGGGCCTGACTATAAAACAATGAGATTAAGAATACACTATAAAACATGAACTATTTTTAACAAAATCAGTTTCAGCTGTAAGTGTCCAATTAGACGATAGTTACAACCAAATGAGTGTAGATTTACAACAATGACGTGTTGTTTTATTTTCGTGCAGAAAAATCACAAGGTCTTTTTTTTGTTTGCATATAAATGCAGAAGCGATAAAAACCCCAGTGATGGTGATGAATAAAAGGGCACTGAGCACTTAGAGGCAGAGAGAGCTGAGTAGTGCATGATGCCTCACTAGGTTTACAGAATTTGTCGATCTAAAAGCCACAGTGGCTTTAAACAAATATTCAAAGAGACTGTTAACATTATGAAAACAATATGAGTGCAAATGGGGTAAGTGAATGCTTAAACTTAAAAGCCAAGAAGACGCCAGAAAGAATACAATGGCAGGAAAAACTATTACTGTAACTAATTAAAGGATATAAAAATATGTACTTTAAAAATTTAAAACTGCTTTATTACTTCTAAATGTAGGAGACAACATTGATTTCAATTAGAAAGTAAAACTTTGTTTAAATTAAAGCATCAAAATATGAGTTAGACCAACACATTAGACAGCAAATAGTTTTGGCTGATATAGTAGCTGAGCAGTACATTCACCAGCCATTGCTGGAAATTACACACATTAAAGAGCATGTAATGCTGCTCCCTGTGTTGACTATTCATTGTTAATATTTTGTTTTATTTGTTAAAAAATGTTTACTTTTGTTTACATAACATTTGTTTTCATTGTGTCGTTTTTTTCATGTAAATTGAGAAAAGAAAGCGATATCTGCCTGAAAAAAAAAGGTCCCAGGAAATCTGGGATTCATTAGATTTGTGTCAAAATAATCAGTATAGGCATCTGCCTTTAAAAAGTTATCGGTTAATATCTAACTATATATATAAATCCACTAAGAAGAAGTTTGCCTAATCTGAAAATTTTTTACAAATATCCCCTGCAAGTAAGATGACTGACAATGTTTCCAAAAACCCAATTAAAAATATATCTTTAATAACAGTTATAATAAAGTTAGAAAAAAGGTAACATATGTATCTGTGCTTTAAAGAATAAAGGTCTGAAATTTAGGAGATCAAATACTTAATATTTCTATTTGATGCTGTTTTGGTAATTTGATGTCATTTAAAAACTGCTCATTTAGTTGGATCTTCTCCAAAAAACCTGAATAAATGAAAGGCTCATAACCATTGCTTCTCCGCATTAAAAGGAGTCTGATTAGGAAGCCTACACTGGAATTGCAGGAGGGACTATTTCCTGTAAGGTTGAAACCTTACAAGCTCTTGGAGGCTAAACTTAAAGCTTCCAAACCTAAGTAAATTCAGTGTGTTTCCCTTTTACATGGAATACAAGTCTCAGACCCTAAATAATACAATAATTCCAGATAAAAAGATTATTACCTCACATGTTATGAATTTGGGGAAGTTCTACAAAACTGTTTTGTAAAACAGATTTGATGGGGTACTGTTTTTTTATGCTGTGTATTGGCTGATTGGAGTTAGAATAGAAGAGAATAGAATAGAATGAAACAGAAAATACCTTTATTGTCCCACAATGGGGAAATTGGTCACACAAATGTGGACCATGGATAAGTGCATACGAATAACATAATAGTAAAGAGTTAAAAATAAACAAATGAAATGTACTGTAAAGGGGTTTTAACAATATAAAACTATGCACCTGGATAATAAATAACTAACATACAGCTATGGACATTTTTACAGAAATGGATATTTGAAAAACAGCAGCAACATCAGAGATGTGCAAAATGGCAGCAGCATGTTATTTAACTGACTGAGGTAGACACTGCAAAATCAGCCTGAATGTTACAATTTATTGAGGTTGTTGGGAACAGAGATGGTTATAAAGTCGTACAGCTATTGGGAGGAAGTATCTGTTGCCTCATTAGGTCTATTTCTCTGTCTGTGTCAACCATCTCCTCTTCCCTCTGTTGTATAGTTCAGTGACTCCACTCTCTAAAGCACAGACAAAGGTTTTTGCTATGCCTACATTAGATAACATTTAGGGGTTTCAAAGTACAGTTTTGTTTATATCCGTGTGAGAAAAGATATTTTAAAGGTCAGTTTTTGTGGATTTCTTAACGCCAAAACAAACAATATGCACCACCATTTTTGATTGAAATAATGGAGGGTTACAACAAAGGCTACATATATGGGGAACATTCTATAACACTATGTCAGGTGTTTTCCAGAGAAGGTTCAACTAATATTTATGTTTCTGGATGTGTAAAGGTGGTAGAAAAAATCCTAAAAACACCCCATCCCATTAACTCCAGTGAAATGTGTTTCTAAAGGTTTTATGACTGTTGAAGCTAGTGCTCACTTCTCAGATTTCCTATACTAAATATACTATAATTTAAAACCTTGTATCCTACAAATGTACAAATGTATCCTACTTCCCAAATTACGTCAAGAAACGTATTTATCATGTAAAACAATCAAATCCTCTAAACCTTGATTAGACAACTTTAAGATTTTTCTGGGCATAGTTGAAGTTAATCTAGATTACACTATCTCAGCAAATGGGTTTTATCCCTTCATATTACGTCAGATAAGAGCTGTGATGGATATATTCAAGTAATGAATAATCAAGTAATTGAGTGTAATGTTTAACAATAACAACACATTTGTGTCTCTGTCAGCTTATTTTTTCATATAAAGCAAAAGTTCAGTCTCAAAAACCTTTAAAAAAGTCCTTAAAACTAAAAATTCAGTAAAGCTCTGGCAAATTTGGAGGAACTGCTTGAAGGGCAGCCCTACCTTTGGGAGTCTAAATGCGGTCTCTGCATGGCTGATTTAAGGACAAGAGCATCAGGACGAATGGCCGCCTGTGGAGAAGTCTTAGGACTCGTGTCGGAGTCTCCACTTTCATCCTCCAGCTCACCCATAGCTTTGACATAGCTACTGCTCCGCATACGGCGACATGGAATCTCCTCGTCTTTGTCATCTGGGTATCCACTCCACTCGTCTTGGGGCACCTGCAGGACACAATATGTCTTAAAAACACTTCTAAAATCATGGCAAAATGCTTTATTGCTATAAATATTTTTTATTCACTAATATCCAGTCTTTGTAAAGACATGCTAGAGGAATCTTTAGCATGTTTGATTAATCTTAAGGCAAAATAGACGGCTTATTCTAGTTTGTTTTCAAATAGTATCATCTGCATATATGAGGGAGCCCACTTAGCTAAATAAGTGCTGAAGATTACGAGGCAAGCTGTTTGTGTCTACATTAAGAAAATTGCTAAATCTAATGTGATCAATGTTCAGCTTTTCTCTTTCATTAGGGTAAGGCAGAGAAAGCCTCTCTAAGTTTCCCTTTTATTTGAATCATTCTTAGAAATAAGGCCATTACGCACTTTGACACACCATCCTGGATCAAGTTAATAAAGAGCATCACATTAAAATGCCTCACTTACTGGTAAAAGTCTTGTTTTTGTGGTATTTTCCTTTGCAACCACTTTAAAGGACATCCTGAGGATCTCTACTCTACTCTTCCACTTCTTTTTTTTTAAGTAGAACTTACATATTTTGTGATTTTACTCAAAGTTACATCATTGAACCGGAATTTGTATTGATGCAGAGTTGTTGACCAACACCTGCAATGTTGACATTGATTTTAATCATTACTCTTTCATACATGGTCTCTTACAGTGAATCATACATTGAAATGTAATTCCAAACAAAGTTAAAAAAAAAAACAATCCACCGGACTTTGTTTCCCAGTTTGAAGATGTTTGGCTTCCCATCCAGGAAGCTTTTTCAATTCAAAGTGTTAGAAGTAGTGTTGAGTTTGAGGCTTTATAGAGTGGACCAAAAGCCCTTTGTTTTGGCTTAGAAAACATGGAAACTGAACTGGACGAGCGGATCCACCCCTTTGGAGTTGGGGTCGATAGAGTTCTTTTTTAGCCTGTAACAGCCATTACCTGTCTGTGTCTCTGAAAGAGGGTCATTAGAGCGAATCGTTGGCCTGTCTGAAACATGTAAGGTGTTTTGGTCCCCTCTAGAGCATTCACCAGCATATTGAAATGTAAGCTGTGGAAACATTTAGGTAACACGACAAATAAGAAATTTTTAGTTCTGAGATGGGCTCAGTGGAGACCTGGGTAGCACTGCTGCCTTGCAGCAAGAAGGTGGGTTCGATTCCTGGCCCCGGGTCTTTTTGCATGGAGTTTGCATGTTCTCCCAGTGCATGCTTTGGTTCTCTCCATGTACCCGGGCTTCCTCCCACAGTCCAAAAACATGACTGTTAGGTCAAAGAGGAACACCGTTTTTTTTTTACATTGGGCCCTTTATTTTAAGATATTACATCATGTTCTACTCACCCTTATGAGTTTTGCGTCATTTGGAGCTGTTCTGAAGATATTCCGTTAGGTTATATCCAAGTACTGTCTTCCTCTGGGCAAACGAGCTGAAGGCACAAACTAAACCGTTCATAATTTGTTCTTTATGGTACGCCAGCATTCATAACATGTAGGCGAATCACTGTCCTCCAGACATCGATGGTTATATTTTATATTTATATTTTTTAAAACAAAGCAGCGCGTGCATGACATCAACCGTGTGTATTAACTTATTTTCATCGAAAATAGCTTTTTGCAGAATGTTAACACGTGGTGCAGTTTTTTACAAGATAAACTTGAACTGAGCACAGCTTTTCTAAGCGTTGTTAAAGTAAACTCTAGTGCACAAAAGATGTACTCTGCCATGTTGGAGACAAATCTTTAATACTGGTATGAATTCACAAACAAATGCTCAAAATAATAAATAAATGGTTTAAAAATGTTCTAAAAATGTTTTTAAAAAATGAAGGAAACTTCTGGTTTTAATAAGGCTCAACTTAGAAGTCTCTTAGGTTAATCATCTCTTAACTTACTAAAACAAATAGGTCCCTTCTGCATTTTATTTTACTTTTATCATACCGATTCAGTAGCCTTAGTATCCTGCTGGCAGGAAGTGAGACCAGCTATATTTGCAAAGATAGAAGGGGAATGAAGTTGTACACTACTGAACATTGTGTTGATAAGTATAAACAGAATAACACACAACAATGAATTTCATGAAAAGAGGAACACACAACTTAATAGTGTCTTAAAAGTTTATATAATCACAAATGCTTCTCAGTCATTATTTAAATCTAATTTTGTTTTCGAAAGATTCAAGCAGCGTAATATGTGGAAATGGGTAGCTTCTTTGTCAAATCAGACATAAAGAACACTGTTCGTCTTTCAAAGAGCAAAAGTGAGGAAAAAATAGTTTTAATAAGTGGGGAAAGGCCTGTTGTTCCTGCTATAAACAGCACAATTCTTATGCTAATTAATCAGCAATGTGATCTGGATATTCTCATGCCTGATGAATGGACAGGAACAGCAGGGCTGAATTTCGCATAAAGTATTTATAACATAAGCTAAAACGATGACTGATTTGGTCTCAAGCAATAGAATGGACTGATAACTAGTTTGGTTTAAGCAGGGAAAGTCATGATTGGCAGGGCTGGAGGAAAATAGTCTCGACCTTGTTCTTATGTGTTAAAGTAATTCTAGCATGAGTTGAGATCAGGAAGGACAAACATTATTTCTTGTAATAACTAAAGAATAGTTCCAGTAGGATTATAAACCTCTGTTTTCTGCAAATCTGAGTGATGAAAAACCAACTTTTTTCCCACCCAAGGTAGGTCCCAAAAAAAGTGCATAGGCTGAAATATTTCAGAATTCTTAAGCTGAAAAACGCATTCTCAATTTAAAAAGAAAAAATTTTAGAGTTTAGAGAAAGCTACCACCAGTAATACCACATTTATGTCCAGTACAGGTAGCAGAATGAAAGAACATTTATGTGATCGGAGCACTAAAGTCAAGAGCAACAACATTTAAATGAAAATGTGTGTAACTGTGCAAAATTGAGAAAACTGTTAAAGCAGCTAATTCTTTTTTTTTTTCCAGGAGCAGAAAGTTTTTTTTTACTTTGCTAAGATCATCCTTCACTGACACTGTGAAATATGGTAGTAAATCATGCTATATACACAATTTTTTATTTCTTTGGTACAACTTTTTAATTTCACAGCTTAAACTGTGCTTTACCCTTAAAAACTGAGTGTAACAAAAATTTCACACTATGACTTTTGACTTGTATTATTCTAGTAATTCACTTCAATTTAATTCAAAAATGCTTTAATAATCCCAAAGGGAAAGTAAATGCGTTCTATGTGTTGATAGCTGTAGGCAGGAATGATCTTCTGTAGCTGTCTGTCTTGCACCAGATCTGGATAAGCCTCTGACTGAAGATACTCTGTTGTTGTTTAACAATGCTATAAGGATTATTAATCCTTTAATGGGGGAGATAAATCGCAATTATAACTCGGGAGATATCTACAGGAACTATAATGCACAGCTTAAGTAGACTTGCATTATTGCACTGCAGAACAAATGAACAAACGGTACTAGGGTGAGAAGGGGCTCAATTGGTGTCTCTCTCTAAACTAGTGGGATCTTGATACAACTTTTTCCTTTCTGATATGATAATGATATTGAAGCTTTAACTATTGACGGATACCAATATTGACCTGATATGATATCAGCACAATTTATGCATACTTTTTAACTGGGATTCAGTTCAATTCAATTTATGTATATAGCTCCAATTAACAGCAAATTTAAACTATAGGCATTTCACAATGACATTTAAACTAGATCATCAGGTCAGGTGGGTTCAAAGTTTTCTATCTAAGTAAAACCAGCTGACTCCATTGACTCATTGATTCGACAGCAATTCCTCAAACCAAGATAAAGGGATGATAAAAGGGTTTGATCTAGTGATTTTACTCAAAGAATATTGTCAACAACAATACTGCAGCAATGGGAACAGCTGACCCATTCATTAATAAACTCTGGGTTTCTGTTTGCTTACTGATACTGGAGATTTTAGATGCAGGCTGATATATTCTGATATATCCATTTTTGGCTGATATTGGACCAATATAGAATATTGTTTTAAGATAAGGAAATCACTACTGTAAACTCTTGAACTGGGGATAACAGGGTCCCTGATATATAGGAGTGAAATTTCAGGTAAGATATTTCCACTGCTATTTTTTTTAAGTAAATGTTTTTCTATTCACTATTAAGATTAAAATGCCACATTTTTATTAAGATTAAAAAACCACATTTGCTGCTATTACTGATAGGTTGTGCAAATGAACAAGCTAATGATACCCATAACAACATTTTTATAATAATGACTCCTATATCGATGGGGATCATAATATTGACATGTATGATGGTAAAAATCAATGTTACCAATCCAATAATTGCTTAGAATATAGAATGAATGATTATGTGAATTACTTTTTCACATATTGGTAAAAATTTAATTTTTTTTTAGCTATACAGTAAAGTTATGTCACAATACTTAAATGGGTGAGAATATGATGGCAAACTAACAATGACTGCAGCAGAAAGTAAATGGATAGCATTAAGGTATATCCCAGATAAAATGATTTAGGACAAGACAGGATTCAGATGGATACTGCAACAGTCTGTTTTTCGACATGTCAAAACCGATGCTCCCATGTAGGAGACAAATTCTACCCCCAACAAAAAATACTAATAAAAAAAAAAGAAAGCAAATTGTCAAATAAAGGGCATGCACTGTTCTTAATTCCCGCTGTAAGCTCTGTCAGAACACTGCACACACACTGCCCTGTGGTTGCTTACACTTTCAGAAAATACATCCCTCATACAGTAGTACAAATAATAACCAAGACAAAGCCTTCCATCCGATGTAACAGCCCTTATCAGATACTGTACTAATTAAAATGAACTTAATTCATTTTTTTTGTTGGAGGGTTACATAGATTCTAATCTTTCCTGCAGGAAAACTCGTTTATTTTGGAGTTTTCATAATAAAGGACTGTTCTTCATACACATTTTTGTATGTGTCATTTGAAAATAACCCTAGAAAGGAAAACCAAAAGACAACAA